TGCTGTATGGATTATGTTAGGATGATAACGGTGGAGCTGGGCGTATATTCCTCTGCTGATTTGATGGGCCATAATAGTTTGGAATAATTGGCTAATATATTGTGGTCCTCGCTTTGGCGATGTGAAATCTGTTAATGTGCGACGAGGAATAAGCACTGTAAGCAGTCGGTTGCAAGCGAGGAGGGATGTTTATTCACTTATATATTGCTGTCAGTGGGGATTTTTATAGGTGTGGAAGCTTTGGTGAAGAGTTGTAGTTGAGTTTTTGAGAGCTAGTGGTCGCGATGTGAAAAAAGCCTTGCGGCTTATTTCACGCATCTGTAGTTAACTCGAATGAAGTTACTCGTTGTGAAAATTCGCAAGTTTTAAAGGTGTGGCCATTAGGGGTCTGAGTTAATTTGCTGCTAGTGAAGTAAGTCCTAAGCTTGTCGCATCTACGTATTAAAAAAGGAAAGTTTGTGGAGGTGTAAATGTAAGATGTAATGATGGGTGACGATTGATGCCTGCAGCGTCTTACGTTTGTTATTTTAGAAAAAATTTCAAGGAAGAGCGAAAGAAGTGGGCAGACTGGACAACTTATTTGAATCTTTGGAGGTACCTCGTCTTCTAAATTATTTGGGGTGGCGCTTAGTTATTTCATGCCCTTTGAAGCTTATTGTATTGTCCTGTGCAAAGTGTTTAAAACCTCATAAAATTGGGCTTGAATCTACTGGGAATGCATATGGAAATTCTGTCGTTTTGTCACCTCAGCAGCAGACAAAGTCATTTCTGACGTGCCTTTTCAATCGCAGCACGACATAGTGTTATCGTAACGTACCTTCAAACGTCGGGATTGAGGTTGTTAACACTACAGGTACTCGAACTTGTCGTCGTACATCAGGTAGCAGAGATGGTTAAATTTTAGCTTTACAAAGTTGCAAACAGAAAGTTAGGAGAAACTAGATTGAATTGCTTTTATTTTACTAATAATTTGCTAGTTTGGGAATTATAACGAATGATGTATATCACTGTTTTTGATGTTTTTTTTAGAAAATATGCTTTGGAAGTGTCTTGTCGATCTCTAAAGCAAACTGGTAGGAAATTATTTTACTTTACCAGAAGCTTTGTCTCGCTTTCAGTTTAATTTCCAGTTAATATGCATCTGTCTTTCTAATTTTATGGAGATGTTTAGGAACACTAGACCACTAAATTTTTTTTAACAGTCTTTGTTGTTCAGGAATTTTAAGTTTGGTTAGTATTTAGATTAAGATTTTGTTCGTATGATTTTAGTATGATGTTATTTGGGACGCACAGACAGAAGGTGGAATCTCTACCAGAAGTTATTTCAGGCGGAGGAGAGAAAAGGCAGAATAGTCAGTTCATTTTTGAAAGCGTTTTTTAAGAGCGCAGTGATTGGTTTCAATGGCTTGTTTCGTTTGTTTTACTACTCCCCTGGAAAGAGTGTTCCTAATTACTACGAAATTATCTTTTAAGTAGTCAAAAACGTTAACAATGAGGCTTTAAGAAATTTGTCGAGTTTTGAAGTCCTAGAAAGAGAGTTGAAATAGATGAGGCATTTTTTCACAGAAATAAAATGCAACGGGCTGTGAGAAATGTATTCTGCGTCGCTGGAGCGGAAAAGGAGACACAGGTAAATGTACTTTCTGCAAAGCTTCTCCGCCGATGATTAAAAAAACGTTGCGAATGAAAATACAGTTGTTTCTGACTTGTGTGGTTTTTGATGAGACCCAAAAAATTGCCATGAAGATTCCAGTATCAATTAGCAGCTCAGTGAATCGGTATCATGTACTCATTCGCTTTGGTCTCTCGAAGAGGGTTGATTACGAAAACCGGCTACTTTGCTCACAACGCACTTCCCACGGCCGTACGACAGTGCTCTATTTTCGCTTCCACGTTTTATAAAAAGTCTGTAGTTCATGTCTGCACGCTATCTCTTTTCAAATCGCAATCAAGCGTTCCACTGTCAAATTTACTTCGCCATTGAGCTCTCAATAAAATGGCGATAAGCGAAGAATCCGTCAGTCCTTTAAACTTCTGGTGAAAGCTAGCGGCTGTACTCCTCTCACAGCACTTTTTTTGTCGCTTTCCCACTCCGGTTACCCCTGCTCACTGTAGCAGTTTCCAACAGAATCTTACGGATAGATATGTTTCATATAGCACTCTATAAATATCACAGTTGTTATACTTAAACTTGGATTAATAAAAGTAATGCACAGGATGCAGAGGCGCTTTTATGTTTTACAGGAGCTAAAAAAAAGGAGTGTGACAATCATTAATACTAAAAATTGTTTGAGGAAGTACTGTCGTTTTTCCGAATACTTGGCAAAAGCTCCACTTTTCTATTATTGGTGCATATACTTGCCCCAAAAAATGTTATTTTAATTTCTCTATTTTTGTTCATGTCACATGGGAACAAAAAGGCGACACCTTTTAAGACTATCAAGCAGGGTATTTGCGCAGCTAGTCCAGAAACTCGTTTGCAGGTTAGACAGCCGTTGAAAAAAAGTAAATATTTTGTATCTTTCACTGAGTTCATGTCAACATTCATTTTATTAAAGAAGAACTTTTGAACTTTGGTTTTGCTTTTTTTTTTTGATGGTTAGAAATACATATTCGGTCTAAATTATTGCTATAGTGGGTTTTGTTTTACGCGGATAACAGAATCATTATTTGTGTAAATTCTAATCCAATTTTAGAACAGAACTGTTTTGTCAGTTATTGTTATTTAACTTTGTAACTCGTTGGCAACCACTCACAACGGGTGTTACGACCAGAGTGAAGCCTCCAACGTAAGAGCACGGTGTGGGGAGAGGAAGTTCAAAAATGTTGCTGTACGACACCTGTCTAGGCGCTAAGATCTATCCTGGGTTTCACGTGTAAAAAAAAAAAGAAAATCTCTGTGATCGTATAAGATTTTTTCTTCATTTTTTTACGCTATTATTTACGTTATTGCTATGTAATTATTTTTTGCCTGACTTTGTTATTCTTATTTTGTCCTCGTACTCTAAGTCACTTCAAAAATTTTCCTATTTGATTCTTCAAAAAAGTTTTTATATTTTACCTTTCACCACAATTATAAGACCTAAAAATACATGTAAGATCCAAATGGTTGTCAGAGGAGATTTACGTAGACTAAAACGTTTTGAGAAAAATTGTGAAAATTTTTTTTTCGGATAATTCACTGCCTCTTTTTGAATTTAGCGTTCAATTGTCCCCTTCTTTTTGAAACAAAAAATTATTTACTTTAACAGCAAAAAATTTCGTTTCAGTTTGCTATTCTTCGGTTAGTACTACTGTTACTGCAATTGTCGCTTCTG